AAAAAAAAAAAAAAAAGAATAGACAAAGGGTTTGAATAGACATATCTGAAGACATACAAATAGCAAACAGGCATATGAAAAAGTGTTCATATCAACGATCAGAGAAACGCAAATCACACAATGAGCTATCATCTCACCCCAGTTCAAATGGCTTTTATCCCAGACAGGCAATAACAAATGTTGGTAAGGATGTGGAGAAACAGGAGTCCTCATACACCATTGGTGGGAATGTCAATTACTATAACCACTATGGAGAACAGTTTGGAGGTTCCTCAAAACACTAAAAATAGAGCTAACATGGGCTGGGCATGGTGGCTCACACCTGTAATCCCAGCACTTTGGGAGGTCAGGAGTTCAAGACCAGCCTGACCAATATGATGAAACCTCATCTCTACTAAAAAATATAAAAATTAGCCAGGCATGGTGGCATGCATCTATAATCCCAGCTACACGGGAGGCTGAGACAGGAGAATTGCTTGAACCCGGGAGGCGGAGGTTGCAGTGAGCCAAGATCATGCCATTGCACTCCAGTCTGGGCAATAAGAGCAAAGCTCTGTCCCAAAACAAAACAAAACAAAACAGAGCTAACATAGGATCCAGCAATCTCACTCCTAGGCACAGATCCAAAATAAAGGAAATTAGGATATTGGAGATACCTGCACTTCCGTGTTTATTGCATCGCCGTTTACAATAACCAAGATTTGGAAGCAACCGTAACGTCCAACAGATAAAGAAAATGTGATACATACACCCAGTGGAGTACTATTCAGCCATAAAAACCTACGAGACTCTGTCATTTGCAACGAGGCTTGAACTGGAGGTCACTGTGTTAAATGAAATTAGCCAGACACAGAAAAATGAACTTTGCATTTCTCACTTATTTGTGGGATCTAAAAGCTTTTTTAAAAAATTGAACTCATGGAGATAGAGTAGGATGGTTAAAGAGTCTCGGAAGGGTAGTGGGAGTTGGAGGGGACGTGGGGATAGTTAATGGGTACAAAAAATAGAAGAAATGAGTAAGAATAGTCTCTGCGAGCACAAGAGGGTGAGTCAAGTCAAAAATAATTTAATTGTGCATTTTAAAAAAGCTAAAAGAATATCATCGGATCGTTTATAACATGAAGGGCAAATGCGTGAGGGGATAGACACCCCACTTACCCTGATGTGATTATGCATTGCACACCTGTATCAAAATACCACCTGTAACCCATAAATATATATACCCACTATGTAGCCACAAAAACTAAAGATAACAAAATTTAAATAAAGTGTCTTTTTTTTTTTTAACATAGGTTAGTGAATTACTTGATTCTAGGTACTTGACTCTTAAGGATATATTGAAAAATGGATCTTACAAATGCCATGAGGAAATATCCAGAATATTAACTAGACAGACATAATACAGAGCTTAGTATGTACCAAGCGCCTTACATTATTCTCAATGCAGAAAGAATGAGCAGTCTGAAAAGAGAACAGCAGTCACAATCATTAATGAGACTCAGTTCCTTTCTGCAGCACTCTTCATTTGACCCGACCATGACATGATGATTTTGAAATTGTCTTACCATTCTTCTGCCTTGAAAGATGTTTGCATTGCTCAAAACTCTTCCCTGGAGGGACAAAAGGTTGCTATCCAATTTGAAATCCCAGAGTCGAAGTAATGCTTGCGCTCTTTCCCTGAAAATTAAAATATTGCCAAAATGATTAAACCAAGTGAGACACGCAAAAGCAGTTAGCCACTGGTGCAAGGCAATTTCTTTCCGTTCCAAGGTTCATGATCGCTTGTCCGCAGCATTGAGACGCAGCAGTTCCTTCCCTGACGCTCTGAAATCTTGTTTTTGCTCTCATAGGCGTAAAGGTCTTAGAGTCGTTCGATTTCATTCTTCCCCATCTGACCTCCTAAACTTGCAATGACAGAAAAACCAGAATTGTCCCCCGACAACAACAAAATTCTTCCCAATTGTCACTTGCTAACAGAAGAATCTGAGATGCCAGAGTGTACACAAGCACCCGCTTCGGCGTGACACTATGCACGTGCACCCACAAACAGCCAGAAAAGCAGCACTTACTCTTTCATGCTTTTCATGAATCCTTTTAATGAATTATGCCTTTTCTCTGGACTCAGTTTTGTTTTTTCAGCCAAGTGTTTCATACTGGTATAATCCTTACGTATTTCATCTGTTAGGCCTTAAAAAAAAAATCCAAAAGACACAGCTGAACAAGCATGAATTTGAGTGAGGACTGAATTACGACAGCTGGAAGAACTACCACCAGAGACACACTTTCAATTCCCCGAAAGGCCTGCACAAAGTCATAATCATACCTGACTTTAAAGAGGGGCGGTGAGTTGCCAATACCTGTCATGTAGCACAGCTGAGGAATCAGCAGGATAGGCTCACGTTGTGTATCCGTTTGACCCTTTTTCCATCTGCCCTGGCTGATCAGAAGTGGCTGTTGCATCACAGTGATGATTTCTTTATGTTGCTGCTCAACAAGAGACCGGCATGACCATCAGCAAAACATTCGAAACGCCACATACAGAGGTTCAGAAATGCATAGGTGGGACTGCGAATGAAGGGCCAGAGGCGTGCTGGCGATGTTTCCGCAAGTTGAATAGCGTACTATGAACACTCTCAAAATTCTCTCCCCTTTGATAGGCCAGGGGTCTTTTTCTCTTGTGACCATACTTGGCAAAGACAGGACTCCCACGAAACAGGACACTGCAGTGGTCAAGCCACTCTAACATTGTATATGAGCATGGGTGAGACAGTATCTGTTGTTCTCACTGCAGTCTTGCCTTTAAAACTCCCAGAGCACACTGAAAACTGTCAAGAGGACCACCCCCACGCCCCACCACCCAACCTAATGAGATGGATAATTACAGATCTGTTCGTAATGCTCTTCCTGCACAGTCTCTCCCTAAGCTCTTCATCCCTGTTTCTATTCTAGTAGGAAAAGACATTTGCAAAGACAAAGAAGTTTCTGTGCTGATGCTGCAATTTTTTTTTTTTTTTTTTTTTTTTTTTTTTTTTTT